CAAATCTTTGAGGTCTTTCCTAAGCATGACAACAATACCTGTAGAATGAGTTTGTGGTCCAGCTGGGGAAGGACACTGGCAAAAGAGCACAACAGTAAAGCAGCAGGTCATCATGCTCAGATGTAAAAAAGACAGAGGTGAGTTTAGGCTCCCAGTCAGCTCCTGGTCTCGTCCTGAGGGCAGATCACCCACAGTCCCAGGCAAGAATCTCACCTTTTCATCTGTGAGGTTTGTGAGACTTTGCCAAGGACAGTGCTCTGAGGAGACAATGGCTCTTACTACCAGAGCTACCACATCAGCCAGAGCATCAGCATGGAGAAGAGCAAAGGAAGCACCTTGTCTTCAGAAATCCAGTCAAGACGAGTTGTAAAAACCATGGCAGATGGCCACATGGCTGTAATTTGTGCTTTTGAAAATATCTCCCTACTAGTTTATTAATTCTCAAACACACCAGGAACATTAGGGAATGGAGAATCCCAGATTCCCTCAGACAACCCAAGACTCTGAATGCAGCCAAGAAGAATTATATCTTCTTGAGATATTTTCAGTTCTTGAATCTTATGTAACTTTAATTTATCCGTACTGTGAATGGCAGAAAGAGAAGAGAAACATTTGACATTTTACTGAGCAAAACCCAGCTATACTACACTAACGATAGCAAAGATGTTTTCTCAGTTGAAATGGGACCTGAGGTCCTTACACGTGCTTGACAGGATGTTTAACTTTGCTTTGACAGTAATGTTCCCTGTAATTTTACTTTGAAATAAACCAGCAGTTTTAAAGGCCGTAGGTTTTCTTCATTAGGCAATTTATCTTCAGGGAAATAACTACAAACACACGGAGGGCAAGCATTTATGTGCAGTCTTACTCATTTTAGAGCCTCATGAGGTCCCACGACTTTATTGAGGGCTCCAACATGTGTTATTAAAGCTTTGTAGTCCTTAAAATGAACTGGACTTTCACGAATAGTAATACTATTGATAATTATGATAAAGAAGCAATTGTCAAGTCTTGTGTCCATAGATAGGAGTTTAAACAACAGCTAAATATGCCCCAGTAAAGGAAAATATATACTCAGTAAAGCAAATATAGGAAATGAAAACCATATTATATATTTAGTGTCCTTGCTCCTTGGGATGTTTATTTAATGCATGGTGTGAGAGTGGCAATACTGCTATTGTATCCTCCTGATAGGGCTCATGCTGTGAAACCACCTGCAAGACACAACAGAAGTGGACAAATAGGATTAGCTGAATCCCTTCTTTCAGAGGCTGGGAAAAAAAGGAGAAAGGTGGTGATTTTGCCTGAGGAGGCTCCAGTGGAGAGGGAAGAACAGAGGTGAGGATCCTCTTGCTCTTCCCATCTGTAGGCAGACTCACCCCCGACAGCCCCTTTGATAGCTGTGCACACCCCAGCACCCCAGCTGGTGCAGCAGCCTGCACTTCCACTGCCCTTCTCTCCTAAGGCATGGGGTGGGTATTTTCTTCCCATCTTGGAGCAGTAGTAAAAAGAGCATTTATTTATTTAACTTGCACGGTAGCTCCTGAATGTTATATGCATCTTTAAGTCCAAAGGAGAAGGCAATGAAATTCTTTTTCAAGGTAAGATCCATGCAGTGCAGGGTCTGAAGTGGGTCTTTTTTGCAGAGTGAGGGTCAGAGGGATGTGTTTTCGCAACTCAAAAAAATCCCAGAAAATGGTTCCAGTAAACTTGCCTGAAATGACTGAAAATTGATGAAAGACAAAGCAGTTTAAAATGGGAAAGCTTTAGCTTCTCCACATGCCAAGATCTTTTCTAAAATTATGTAAGCAGCCAGGACAAAATGAGAATAGGGTTTGACTGAATTGTTTGACAGAGTTTAATATTTTCTTTAAATTTTGTTTTTTAAAATATGTATTAACTTATATTTTATGTATATCTATATCTATCTATAAATATATAAATAAATATGCAAAACTTGTTCTCTAAAACCATTCATGCAAAAAAACTAGTAAGTCTCTTTCAGTTTTTTGCTTTTTTAGGATTTAGGCCTGGAAACTGTGTTTTTTGTCAGAAGACTTAGAAAGCAATTCACATTCCAAAAGCAGTTACAAATTACAGCTTATCCTGTTTTCTTTAACAAAATATGAAGACTACATTTTTAAATGGCAAAAATAAGTTACCAGCACAAACCATTAATTGTTAGACAACAGTCATAGGCTGGTAACATTATTGTGAAGTCTGTCTAAAGGATGCCATGAAAAATGCAGTATTATGTGGCTCATTTAGCTTACAGCTGTTCTGCATTCTTATCAAGCAGTATCTTGTGTCAAAGAATGGCAGTTTTAATTTCCTTTGCTGGTTGCTCTGTTTAGATCACTTTGACGCAGATTATCACTTTTACAGGAACATAGTCCAGCTGGAGGGTAAACATATCTCCTAATAATTTTTCTTTCTTTTTTTTTTTTTCCTGCTGCTCCTTCACTCTGTGCAGCAGCAATGAAAAACCAAGTTATTTAACTTGGGTTTGTAATAGCTAATTTGATATTTTTAGACATTCAGGTGGGAAGTTCAGACCTCAAATTACAGTGCTGTGATTCTAGCTCAATCCAGAGAAAAGGATTTAATGAGGTAATAAATGAAATGGTGACTGGATTAAGCAGTATCAAGGAAACATTTAAAGCATAGATACAATTTCAATGAATTTTAGGCATGTATTTCACCTACTGTGTGTATTTAATTGCTGTCTTGAAGCTGAAGTTTCCCTGACATTGGAAGGCCTATGCTTCCAACTCAGGTAATTACACTGAAGCAACTGGTGCTACTATTATAACACCTGTCAACCAGAAATCGAGGCAGCAAAGCTGACAAAGCAGCTGTAACACATTCAAACTTCCACATCTGGCAATATTGTGCTCAATTGGCTCCCTTTTACAAGGAGATTTTGGTAAAGAACTTCTTCACTCTGCGCCACCTCAGACCTGACAGTCCTGGAAAGGCCTCGTGCAGCCAAGTTCCAAGATCTACATTGTCCCTTGTCTTCTCGTGCAGGAATAGTGTCCTGCATCCTTCATGGATGACAGTGCCTCCCCTGAGAAGTATTTCTCTTTCTGAGGCAAAAGAAAGGACCAACCTGCCAGAGACCATTGGTGTTTTTCCAACAGTGCTAATAATAACAGTGCTAAAAGACTTTAATTTCTCCAATGTAAGCATAAGGCAACACAACAGAAGCACGAGATGACACAATGGAGGATTTATCTGTCACTTGAGGTGATGTAACCATATCTCTGCTGGGGTGCACAAGAAGGGCAGGTCCCAGCGCTGTGTTCCAAACACAGGCTATGTATTCCAGTGGTGTGCCTGGGCTATGGGTCCTTGCTACACTCTGGCCTTGGAGCACTATGAGCCCCAGCTATATTTGGCACAACTGGTCAGAAGAACAAAGAAAGGCTGTGGTAGTGCATGGCAAAGGAAGGTAAATAGAGTCCTGGCTCTGGGTAATTACAAGGTAGAATCCAAAGAAGTCATCACTTGGTGCAGTAAATTGGCTCAATAGAATTAGAGAATTACAGAATCAATTTAGTTGGAAAAGACCTTGACATCATCAAGTACAGCCTATGACCAAACACCACCATGTCAACTAGACCATGACACTAAGTGCCACATCCAGTCTTTCCTTAAACACCTCCAGGGACATTGACTCTACCACCTCTCTGAGCAACCCACTCCAATGCCCAGTCACTCTTTCTGGGAAGAAATTCTTCCTAATTTCCAACCTAAACCTCCCCTAGTGCAGCTTAAGACTGTATCCTCTCCTCCTGTCACTGGTTGCTGGGAGAAGAGGCCAGCCTTGATCTGTCTACAATCACCTTTCAGGCACTTGTAGAGAGTGATAAGGTCTCCCATGAGTTTCCTTTTCTCCAGGCTAAACAATCCCAGCTCCCTTAGCTGCTCCTCACAGGACTTGTTTTCCAGATGCCTCACCAGCTTCATTGCCCTTTTCTGGATAAGCTCCAGCCACACAATGTCCTTCTTGAGTTGAAGGGCTCAGAACTGAATACAGGACTCAAGGTGTGGCCTCACCAGTGCTGAGTACAGTGCCCTGGTCCTGCTGACCACTCTGTTGCTGACACACCTCAGGATGCCATTGGCCTTTTTGGTACCTGGGCACACACTGGCTCTTGTTCAGCTTCTGTCAACCAGCACCCCAAAGTCCTTTTCTGCTAGGACACTTTCCAACCACTCTGCCCCAGCTTATAAGAACTTTATGCCCAGGATTTACTATTTCTTAGGCAGTTTGGCCAGGATTTTCTTGCTCTACTTTATGTGCCAGAAACTTTACTAAATAGCTAATGCTTCAGCATTGCTAGTGAATTGTGACTAAAATCATTCTCAGGCACTGAAGCTCATATTCACGTTACTAAAGTCTCTCACCTTCCAAACTAGATTGGGTGCTCACAAACTACCTCTTAGGAGTGGCCATGGATTGGTCTTAACCCCCAAACCATGCCCAAAAACTGTTTTGGAGAGTGATGTTTGTCTTAGCCTGAAGTAGGGACACATATATTCTGGTAACACAGAAGTCTGAGTGTCCTTGTCCAGAGACACTCTCTGGCAGCCTCCAGGACCTTCACCAACAGAGATGCAGCCCACCATTGATTAATTTCATTCATTTTGTTTCCCTCAGTATTTAAATCTCTCCTCCTGAGAAATATTGGCCTCTCCCTATAGTGACTGAACATCAGGAATACAGCTGACATCTGCAGAAATTATCCTTTCTTGTCAGATGTACCTGAGCTCCCTGAGGTCCATCCACCATACAGTCCACAAGAGGCTGGTGGTGCTGCCAATGACTGATTCTTCATAGAGTTCTTGAACAAAACCTCTCCCTGTCCCTGTGACCTCTCTTCCAAACATCTCCACAGTCATTTCTCATCCTTTGCTGCCTCCATACACACTAAGTTCAAACCAAACACCTCTCTCTCTCTTCTTCTCTGTAGTGCACCAGCCATGACCCTTACCTCCTGAGGTGGCACTGGTCCTTGTAGGCGTTGGTCCAGCACTGGATTCAAGTTCCTGCGGAGGAGTCCTTGGCATCCTGGAGATAGTACGGCTTTCTTTTCACTGCTTTTTGGGTGTGCTGCAGTACTGCCTTCAAGTAACATTGCATCCTACACTGAGACAGTCAAGCCACAGCCAGATTGTCCACCAGAAAAGGTGGATCAGATAAGGGAAAGTCTTTGGGATCCAAAACAGGAAGTAGGCACAGAAACCACACTGCAAGAGATAGATCCAAACAACTGAGAGACTGAGTGCTCCTAAAGCTGAAAGGAGATATTAGAAGGCATAGTAGCAAGGATGTATTCAAGAGGTGATTTTCATAGACCAGAGAGTTTAGAAGAGGCAGCAGAGCAAATTTTCAGCTACTCAGAGTGTCAATTCTACTCACTATAGCTGTGGTGAGAAAGACAGAGTGTCCTGACAGGAAGCGTGCAATATAAAGACATTGTCAGAAGCATATATTTGCAGCTGATTGAAGTAATTGCTTTTGAGATAGTTACTCCTTTTTCACTATAATGGAAAAGGGAAACTTGAGTATAAGAGAAGTGAAAGAAAATATGTGAGAATCCCTCTTCCATTCAAGCACAGACATGTTTCAGTTTTCACTTGGCCTCTCTTGCCAAGCTATCACATTTTTCTGTTGTCACATCCTCGGGTGCCAAGCATTCAAAAGTGGCTGTTGATGTTTCCCCCAGAATGACGTGATGCTTTCCCCAGCATGACACATCTTCCTTCAGCAAATGAGCCACGGAAGTCCTTGAGTCACTGGGGAGAATCCTGTCCATCCACTGTTGTCTGCCTCTGGGCATTGAATACAGAGCACTTCCAAACAATTAGAGTGTTCTTTTTTTTTCCCTGGGGAGGTTTTTGTTTCAATTCTCAGAACTGTGTCCCTGCCCATGGCTGTGTTGGGAGAGCAGGGCATCTGCCACCTCATGCTCACATACAGGTGATGTGTGCAGAGCTCCCAACGCAGGCTGAGAGCAGCAGTGTGTGCTGCCAGCAACCTGCTGAGCCACTCAGCCCCCAGGATGGGCACTGAGAGGCAGCACACTGCAGGGTACCAGGAAATAGAAAGCAGTGCAAGGCTGAAACAATGCAAAATCAGAGAAAAGCTGCAGGGAGAGGATGTAGAACCATGCAAATCTTGCATGTACAGCTGTTCTGCACTTCACAGAGGCCAAGACTTTCTTGCCTGTACAAAGAGAATTGCATAATGAGTCAATGAAGGTTTATACTTATATTCTGGGTCCAGAGTTTAGGGTAGGCTGGGCCTTAGTAACTCTTTACCATCAGAAATAACAGTTGTAGCTCAATCCAAAAGCATGAAACTTTTCCTTTCAGATACAAAAAGATGCAGTGAATAAGATAGACTTTCACATGAAAATATTTTTTAAATTACTTATGTTTCTCCTTGTATTTTTTTTTTTTGCCTGCTACTTCAATGTCAAAAAAAAAGTCATAAAAAAAATTCCTGGGCCTCAAATTATAATATTTCAATTTAGTTCAGAAAAGTATCAGCCCAGTCCCTGCACATGTGTTCATGTGTTAGCGGCATGTCTAATGAACTAAAAGCCAAATTGCCTGCATTTATTTCAGTGGAATGACTCTGGTAAAAAACTGAATTACATACAAGAAATGGATTTTTCCTGCTGGTCTCAGGGACAGAGGGGTCTGAAGAAACAATTGCCTCTCTCTCCTAGAGATGGTCCTACAGGCTCATAGAGCCTTACTGGGGAAGATGAGGAGTTAGGGATAGACAGCTGAGTAAAAATGTTGTTGCTGACTCTGTCTAGGCTACAGCCCCATCTTGGCAAGCTCTGTAATTCCACAATGCAAAATAAAGGCCAGGCCAATCAACTTCCCCACTTCATTTCTCTTTCTAAATTATTTAGGAGAGGCTGAACTTACAAGCAAATTCAATTTCGCAGAACTCTTTAGCAAATCTGGGCATGTCCTAACATTGTCTCTCTCCTTCTTCCCTTTAGTTCTCTTTTGAGTTTTTCCTTTTCCCTCCACTCTTTTTCTATATCCTAATTCTGCTTTTCCACTCAGTCCTTTTCTATATCTGAAGTCTGCCTCAGCTGTACTCTTTCTTATTGAAAATATAGATTTCTTTTTCAGCTCTCATCACCTCTTTTTGTTATTACTTGGCAAGTCTCTGCTCTCCAGTAAAAAAACTCTGAATCTTTTGGAACCTATATTATGGCCTTTTAAGTTCTTACTCAAGTGCTGCGGACCTTTTTTGTTCTAATGGAGCATGGGATCATTCAAGTAGGAGGCACCTCTGGAGGCTAGCTAGGCCATTACTGAAATATCTGTTTTGAAGTAGGATCGATGCTAAATGTCTTATCCAGTCAAGTTTAACACATCTCCAAGGGTGGAGATTCAGCAGCCTCTGGGAACTTTTGCCAGTGCTTGACCAGTCCCACTGTATAAAAATTTCTGGTTAGAAAATTTGTTCCATGGCTAGGAAGCACTTTCTTACTTGAAAGACACATTTCTGTTCAAGACGAGATTATCCCATAAGTTTGCTGGCATCCTCTCTGGGACTTAAACTGCTAATAAGAAGCAGTTTTAGTCCCTTCTGAGGCTTTCTTTCACTAGACTAAACACAATATCCACTTCCCACTTCCTTTTCAGCACAAAGCCCTCCATCCCTCTGACCACTATTGGCATCCTTCTGTTATAGTTCATGTTTGAAAGTTCATTGCTCTATGTTTGACATAGAGCAATCAGAAGCATATGCAAAATTGATGTGAAATCTCACAAATGTCTTTGAATTAGAGCAGTAAGAGTCTCCCTTTTCTGCTGGATATACCTCACTAGACTACTCTAAGATCACCTTAGCAGCACACTTACCATAGACAACACACCAGATTCTTCCCTTCCACAGTTATTTCCATAAAGCATACTTGCTGCCATTAGAGCACCCAGCTCATTAATTCCGTCCTCACCTCATCTGCTTATTAACACTCAGAAGCATTTTCTCCCTTTCAGCCAGCTCCATGCACACCTAATTCTTGTTTTTCCCTGCTCCCTCCTCACTTTCGTCCCACAATACTCCATGAAAAGGCTTAATTGAAATTCCCAGGAAGGAAACATGTTTCCTTTGTGTAGGAAATAGTTTTTCAATGAGTGTATTGGGCTGACACAACCCAACATTGCAAAGTCATGTTTCATCCTCTCCACCTACCAACCTCTATTTGCCTTTCATTCAAATTTTGCTGAGAGCTTTGCATACTATTGCAGCCAACCACTTAAGGCTGCCTGGGTCACCTCCTCTTCCCATATTTTAAACTAAAGGGCCCAGCTTTGCTTTTCTTCATATGTGTGTTACTGTCCTTACCTAAGAGGTCTGAAACTAGGAATACTTGCTACCAGAGCTGTGCTTTCATGTACCAGTCCCTGCCAAATTCAGAGGTACACTTTGCTTCACAATAATCCAGGAGTTTTCTGGGGGAAAAAAAATGATACATTCACTGCATCTTGAACAACAGAAGTGCCAGAAAGATAATCACAGAATCAGCTGAGTTGGAAGGGACCCACAGGATTCACTGATTTCAAATCCTGACCCTGCACAGCATCATCCTCAATAATTACACCATATTGCTCAAATGCTTCTGTAACTCTGTCAGGTTTGTGCTGACAAAGTGAACACTTCCCTGGAGAGCCTATTCCAGTGCCCAAACACCCTCTAGGTGAAGAACTTTTTCCTAATATTCCTCCTAAACCTCCCCTGACTTAGCTTTGGGCCATTCCTCGTTCCTGGTCACCACAGAGAAGAGATCAGCATCTGCCCCTCTCTTCCCCTCATAAGGTTAATTGTAACTGTGGTGAGGTTTCCCCTCAGTCTCGTCTCCTCCAGGCTGAACAGACCAAGTGCCCTCAGCTGCTCCTCATATGGCTTCCCCTCAAGGCCCTTCACCATCCTTGTGGCCCTCCTTTGCCTCTCTAACAGTTTCATATTTTTCTCTTGTTGTGGTACCCAAAACACCCCCCAGCATTCGAGGTGAAGCCACCCCAGTTCACAGCAGAGCAGGACAATCCCCTCCCTTGCCTGGCTTGATGATGCTGTGCCTCATGCACCCCACACTTGGCTGCCAGGGCACTGCTGAGGCATGTTTCACTTGCCATCAACCCCCAGGTCCCTTTCCATGACACTGCTCTCCAGCATCTCACTCCTCAGACTGTACTTACATTCAGGACTGCCCCATCCCAGGTGCAGGATCCGGTGCTTCCCTTGTTGCACTCCATGTGGTTGGTGATTGCCCAGGCCTCTCATTTGTTGAGGCCTCTCTGCAGGGCCTCCCTCCCTTTCAAGCTCTCCCCAGTTTTGTATCATCTGTGCAGTCCTGCATCCAGGTCATGAATGAAGATGCTGAAGAGCACAGGGCTGAGGATGAGGCCAGCGGAACCCCGCTAGTGACAGGTCCCCCATCTGATGTCACCTGATTGCCTACAACCCTTTGGGCCCGACCCATGAGCCAGCTGCTCACCCATCGCATGATGTGTTTATCCAGATGTGTGCTGGACATTCTGTCCAGAAGGATCCTGTGAGAAAAAGTATGGAAAGATCTACTGAATTCCAAAAGGATCACATCAACTGGCTTCCTTTGATCAACCAGGTGGGTTACCTTGTCATAAAGGAAATTAGGTTTGATAAGAAGGACTTTCTTCTCATGAAGCTGTGCTGGCTGTGACTGATAATGAAACAATTGAAATCCAAATTTACTTACGATTATCCCAAAAGCATGCAACAAGACACAATAGTTTTGTGCAATAATTGGCACTATGTCCATAACTGTGAAGGCAGGAATTTCTTCAACTATATTTTTATTGTCAGAGCTTATCTGTTAGGTTATGGAGATCCACAATGCTGTGATAGCTTTGCAGTTTCATTTCTGGAGTTACTAGCTGGAAAAATAATGATGAGAAGACATGAAATCATGAATGAGGAATTTACCATCAGTAGGAGAGATTTCAGTTTCCTTCTAATCCCTTTCTTTGCTGAGGCATGTCTGATTATCCCAGTTGTATTATCCTTTTCAATCACAGTTCCCAGCAACATAATTACCGGCACTGCTTTTACAATACCCATAACTAAAATAGTTTTGCAATATGGAGAATGTCAACAATATGCATTTTGTTGGCATCTCCTCAATTTTATTGAACACTTCTTGAGGTGGCAAAACTCTATCCTGTAATATTTTAAAAATCTCCATGTAGAAATAGATTTTTAAGCAAGATGTAATGTGATATTCTACATTTAAATAGTTTCACTTTCTAAATTCAAATAGAGCTGTGAATTAAATCCCTGATCCTCTGCTTAAAACATACTATAAGCATCCTAATTCTGAAATTTCATCCTAGTAATTTAAACCAAACCCAACTCCTTCATCTGTTTAGTCCTTTGCAAAACCTTTATTAAAAAACATCTAAAACATCACATGAGAGAAAACTGCCAACAACAATAACCTCAACTTCTGTTGCAGCTCAATGGTAAAAACACTTAGCTAAAAGATAAATTTTATGGGTACCACTATTTGTTTAGGAAAAAACTGTATCTATAGCACGTGACTTGTCAAAAATGAAATCTGTCTACTATAAACTAACAGTAATGAATACAATGCAAAAGACTGGAAAGTCTTACGTCAGCAGAGAGAAATTACACAGTTCATGTGTGAAAGGTTCTTTGTAATGGGAATGAACTACATCATTTATGTAAAACAGATTATTTACTATGCCTAAACGTGTTGTTTTGTGCCAGAATATTGCATGGTTTTTTGATCCTGGTGCTCTATTGCTTAGTCTTCTGAAGTTCTCATTTGTTTTCAGGAAACATTTAACACATTCCTGCCATGTTGCACTAAGTTCTGCCTGAGAGGAAGGTAATTACATCTGCCAGCTCCTTGTGTGCTGGGAAACGTGTGCGGAAGTTAAAGGCTCCAAACAGCGTTCCTTGAAAAAGCTTTGCTGGAGGACAAAGGCCCAGTAGCCATCCTCACCTGTCCCGCTGCTCTGCGACCCCATAGCCACCAGCGGTGTGCACAGGCTGGCTCAGAGACACGGGCCTGAGCGCCTGTTTGCAGCTCTTCCTCTGCACATAAGCTTACACACTGAAAGGAGCTGGGGAAATTTATATGCAAACAGGGATACTTCAACAATCAGGAGCAATTCCAGGCCATATGAGGTGCCCAAGGCCTGCTCTGGCTCCTTTCAGAGCCAACACGAAAATTGACCTTGGAGACCATCCTCCTGCCAGAGCTTCCCCACTGCAGAGAGGAGTTGATCACTGTGCTCTTGGTCCCACAGCAGGGAGAGGAGCTTCTTCCCCTTGGTTTGAGTCTGTAAAACACCACGTGGAGTTTTCAGCAGCTTTGCTTTGAATCAGCCTGAGGAAGCTGGAACCCAAGGAGTGGGAACGGTCTCCCCTCCCAGAGAAGGAAACATCTCTGGCATTGGCTCATTCCTGTTATCCATTATAGCTGACATACAGTACATCTCACTATACCACAGTGCGGCACAACACTGTCCATAGTGCGGATATCAGGCATAGCTGAAGAAATCATGTTCCTTTTTTACATCAGGAAGAGGACAGCTGTGTCACTGAGGATGGCATTACAGACGTCAGGAGCTGTGGTTCAGAAAGTCTGTCCCTGTGGCTTCTGGATCATCTGCTTTGTGTGGCAGCACTTGGTACCAACCAGGCCCTGTGACAATGCTGGCAGTCCCTTCCCTGGACATTTGTGTTTGAGGTGTAACATCATCACCAAGCTCCAGAGCAAGGGACATCATGAGCCAATGGTCCCCTGTAGGGATCAGATCACTCGCACATCTCCTAATATCCATTTTATTTGTAAATAGTTACCTCAGGACATATACCCCATTTCAGCACCAAAAAATCCCATTCTAAATTCTCATTCCTAATTCACTTTGTGGTCAAGACAAAAAATCTGAATAGCTATCACAGCTTTCCCACAACTTGGACATGCCACTCCTGATCTTTTAGATCATCCACAGATAAAAATAAGTATTTTCTATTTCATGTAAATAAGTTATGATTTGCTAAAAGTATTCCAGATTACTGAAGGGAAAAAGATGAAGGTGATGAAAACTCTTGCTGATATTTCCTTTGCAAAGCTGCAGAGTAGCCTTGGCTTGCAGTAGTGTAAGGATGCTTTTCATGTGACCTTGTTCTTCAGGTTAAACTCTTGGAGAGAATGACAGGCTGCAAATGCTGAAGCAAGAAGGAAAAGTGGAAAATACAATAGGAAAGAGGAGAAAGTAGACTAAATATGTGCATGAGCTGTTCCAAAGGACTTCACCGGTGCTTTATCAGGAAAATAAATATTGACTGAGGCTATCTGAGGAACTTATACTCCACAGCTTTTTCAGTCCAGGTCAAAGCCTAAAATTGTCTATACTTTTTCGTGTGATGCTGTTTTAAGACTGAAAGGAAGACTAACATGCAATACCACAAAAAGGAACATCCTAGACAAAAGGAGATTTGGGGAAAAACACATTTGGTAAAGCTTAACCTAGGTGCAGGGAAGAGGGTTGAGGATACAAAAAACATACAGCTCAGTAGGGAACTAAGAGCAAAGTTCAGAAGTATCAAAGGGCTGTGGGATTACAGAGTCCTACAGATGTCAGGGGGAGTTATGCAGGGAAAGGCCTTTACTGAACAAATTAGAAGTGTTACAACCTTTTTTGCAAATTAAAAAAAAGTAATCTATTTCAAAATCTTTAACAATAAGTATAACTTCTAGCAAGTGGCCACAGAAAATCTATTTCAAAATAAAAAGCTTGTTACTACAGAAAACCTGTGACTTAATTTTGGAATTATGGAATTAAATTATCCCATCATGTACTTTGAAATCTTCACATTCTAAGAAGAGTTTAGTCTTCACATTCGAAGAAGAGTTACTCCAGGCTACATCAAGATTACTAGTGTTTAAGGGACCAACTTGAAAGGAGAAGTGGCAGAACAGGAAGAGTGACTTTGTCCCCTGGCAAAGAAGTGTCCTGCGTCAATGGCAAGCAAAGAATTTCAAACAGATGTCATCTAATATTTGCAACTAGTAATTTCTCCTTTTCTGATATCATCTGATTTATTTTTCTCCTTGTGGTATCTCAAAAAATTTAGTATATTTCTTACTATGCTAGCCTTGGTTTTGATGGTACTTCTTTTAAAAATTTCCTCAAAGCCTGATGAAAAGAAGCTCAGCCTCAGAAGAGAGTGAACAAATTATACAGACTTTAGGAAGGAAGGTAGGAGCCATTTCCCACTTTGTCTTTCCTTTCACATATAAGACAGTGCCAGTTTCATAATGAATTCGATAGAAATGTTGCTATTGAGTTCACCCTCTTACAGTAATTTTTTGTTGTCTTTGAAAAAGTTTTAAAACAACTTTTCCTCTCTGTGACACTGATCTTACTCTTCTGAGAAGCAGATATTTTTATTACTCCTGTGACTGACTCCCTGAAATTATTTACAAAAAATTTCTCAATAGGGACACCATAGGGAAGATATGAAACATGGAACAAAAAGTAATGGAATTCTAGAATTGTTAAAGGAGCATTCCAACCATTTTTTTCATCTTCATCATAAGCCAGGAAAGTCAGCTTTGTTTTCCCGACTGTTTGCAGGCTTTTTATTCTGCAGATGTTCTCTGTAGACCCAAGAGCACTGGGAGCTCTGGGTAAACCATATGTTCACACACCAATGCTCCTTTCAAAAGCTGTGTTTCCAGGGGTTGTCAGCTCTTGAAGTTTGCTGTCTGAAGGGTCTTGCAACCCCATCACATTACTTAGCAGAAAAAGTTGACAACTGTGGACTTACCCATTCAGATGGCAAAGCATGCCCTGACAGTGGTCATGTGGCTGTATGACTCTCTTTGCTCTTTCATCAGGCAAGTGAAGTTCTACCAAAATCAATGGAGTTACAACAGTTTAAAACATTATTGGTTTTGTTTTTTTGTTGTTGTTGTTATTGTTAATAATAATAATAATAATAATAATAATAATAATAATAATAATTAGTCCTTAATTCTGTCTGGAGTTGAAAGCAGGTGGGGAGACAAAAGTCCTCATGAATTCAAATTGACTTTAGCTACTAGATTTGTTTGTTAATAAAAAGTGATGACTATATCAATGTCTTAAAACTTTCTCCTTTTTTAATCTGTTTTCAAGAGTGTGCACTGCTTTGGAGGTGTGAGAGGTGACACACCTCTTTTGAGATGAGGCATAACATTTTTCACGCTCAACAAAAAACCACAGTGATTTTTCTTAATTTGTTATTGATACTCTCCCATGAGTCAGGCATTGCAGCTTGCTCCACCATACTGACACAAGTGTTCAGGCAGGCGGGCAGAGAGTCACTCAGATCACAGACAGAATCCTAATGAAAACTAATAAAATTCCTTTGGTGTCTTATTTTCCATCTAGATCCCCACCGGAATCTGACATAACGGCTCAAACACCAGTGCTGACACACATGGGAAGTGGTGAGAAAAAGTGACTCGTGGCAGAAGTCAGACTACAGACTGGCAGTGATACTCTTTTTTGGTAGTATCCTCCCCACATTTGTATCCGTTTGGTAGCATGTCCCCACTTCCCAGGAGTTAGCAGGGCTCATTGAAAGAACTTTAAACTAAATTTGAATAATAAATAAGTCCAGGGGCCTCACACTAATGTATGATTCTGTTTCTGTACCAGCTTATAACAGTTGTCGAACTACATGCTAAACATTATGTCCTAAAGCAGCAGATTTCATTAAATAGTTGTGTGCTACCCAGGCTAAATGGGAGATTTAACATGCAGTTGGTAACAGCATAGGATTCTCCATGAAGCTTTCTTTATGACTTAAAAAAAAATAGTAGAATGTCACATTTTAGAAAGTAGTAATTTTGCAAATTGTATAAAATATGCAACTTCCCACAAGAACAATTGCACAGACTATTGCAAACAGATAATGAAAATAGTAGGAAATGAAACACGAAAGTTTAATTTGCCCTTCCTTAAAAATGCCTGTAATTCTGACCAAGGCCTTTGCTCTCTCCAATTGCTCTGTATTCATAGGGAATAAAGCGATGCCTTCACATAGGAACATTTTGAAAGTCTAGGCACTTTCAAAATACTAACAAGTCCAGACAAGGAGTATGAGAAAAAAGTAGACCATAGAGATCTCAGTATCTGAGCATTTGTGAGTAACAATGAAAATCTAAGCAAGAGCAGTAGGGAGTGATGGTTGATGATGCTGAGCTAAAGTACAAAGGGAGATTTTTAAGTCCTCTCTCCACACCAAAACTGCCATTGTCACACATAGCTGCAGCTGTAGAGAAGGGCTGGGTGCAGCATCAGCTTTAGGGAAGGGCTGGGGGGAAGGGGATGGTTTCATATCAGAGCAGTTCAGCTTGACTGCTTCTGGTTTTTATTTTTAACTTCTGGTCTCGCACATAATTTAAACATCAGCAGGGGAAACTGAGTACATTCTGCATTTTCAGCGAGTGATACCAGGGGACTTCACAGCAAGGAGTGACTGACCTGAGTGGGCAGAGCTGTGGTGTTCCCCTGCCAGGCACGGACAGAGCCCCCGCCATGGAAGGGATATGTGAGAGCTGGTGTATTGCTCTTGAGAAGCTCTTGCACCAGTACAAAAGAAACTCCAGGGAGAGGAGCTTTTTCCCCTCAGGAAGCAGGTGTGACTCCCACGTAGCGAGGACACTTTGCCAGGGAGGACTTGCCACCCAATCCTCCTCGATTTCACCACAGAAACCAGCTCTTCCTTCCAAAAAGCAGCCCATGGAGGAAGTGAGGCCTTCATTTCCTCCCAGGCTTACTCAACAGCTCTGGGGCCAGAGTGTCCCTAGAAATCACTTTCTATTTCTGCCCAAGGTCTGAATTTTTTGAACTACATATTTGAGCAAACTTCCCTTGGAATCCACGAAGGTGGCACACAGGCTCCTGATCTTCTCTTTGTGACAAAAAAAACCAAAAAACAAAATAAAAAGGTTCACTTTAAGAGGAGCAATAGAAAAACATCTTGGCCAATATTCTTCTTGGGAATTGGGAGACCTTCCTGTAGGAGTTCTGGGTTCATAATCTATTTAAATAAGGAAGGGATATGATTCAACATCTCCCACATCCTGGTTAAGCAATCTAAACAAAAAAGCATCAGACCATCTAACTGACCATCTGAAGGAAAAAATTAGCTGGACCTAGACCACTCAGATCCTCTGGTGATGGCACCAAAGTCCTCACAGCTAACCTGGCCCCCAGGACACTTCTGCTTCAAGAACAGCAGTGTGGAAAGAGTGACTATTACAGACCCAGCACAATCTATTAACCCTATAATAGTGTGCTAGCATGCAATTAGAAAGAGTTCATGCTATGGTAAGTAGGTTCCCTTTCACAAATTCAGTTTAGAATAATAAAGGAGTTTGCTAGAACTCAACCTGAAAGGAAGAAAGACTCAAATTCCCCAATGTGTAAGGCACTTTCTGAGTAGTGATAGTCAGTTTTCTCAACAAAATGGTATGACTGAAATGGCAAACTCCACAGCAGCTTCATTGTGTCACTACAAGATCCTTGCGCTAGAAAGCCTTTATGAAAGCAAACAACACTTATTGAAGGTGCACTCTGCATTTTGGTTTTCCAGTTACCCATCTCCTAAGAGAAACTTCCAACACATATAAAGTGCTATTGAAAAGTTATCTCCCAAAAGGAATGTACTGAACCCTTACGTCTCATTCCGACAATGGAGTGATGATACTTTTACCATTGATACCACCCAACTTCTGTTCTCACAACAGAGAGAAATCACTGCTTTCCAGGGAAAAAAACATAAAAATTTCATTAAGTGACTTGGCTTATGTGTAGGTAATTTACAAAGTCACAAAGGCGATCACCAGGAAAAGAAGAACAAGAACACAAGAGAATGCATGACTAAATGTCAAACCAAGTGAGATAATAGTCTGATATGAGATTATGGACACAAAAACATCGGGCGTGGACAAAGGTAAACCAGTTAGATTTACAGATGTCTCATGGAACAACACATGAGCTTTTATTTAAGAGTGAAATAGATCCTCTTTACTGAGGTGAGCTGGAGTTGGTATGCATTCATGTGTGAGATTATAAACATTGACACACTTCAGTTTCCTTTGGCATTGAGCAAGTTCCTTGGAGGGAAAACCCCCCTTTTGAATGCTTTGTAAAACACAATCTACATCTAATGTACTATGTTAAAAATGGTAAACAATAAAGATAAATACTTACACCATTCAGTACCTCGCATACACTCAGGCTCCTCACTGTGTTCTCTTTTCAGCTCTGTCATCTTCTCTGGTAACTGAAATACCTCACTCTTCTTCACCATATAACTTCTTTGAATTTTCATCTTTCATGCTTAGAAAGCAAGCTCAATGGGAACTAAGAAGTTCCTTAAACACAAGTGAAACTTACAGTCAATTAATTTTTAAAAACAGACAGTTTTTTTTTTTAGAAGTACAGCCCTAACAATAATTCAAAACACAATGACGACAAAATGGGATCCCTGTCAAAACACTGTGTTGTCCTCATGGGTGATGCTCACAAAACAAGCCAGATAACAGCATGCTGCTTGTGAAAGACCCAAGGCCACCAGTGTTTCTAACTTGACCAGCTCTATGCTCAACAGCTCTATGCTGCTGTCTCATGCAGCCCTAAAACAGGCACCACTCACCCCACCAGGCAAACTGTGCTGTGACGGAGACAAAGCAACAGCTACCTTCCTTCCATGAGAAAAGTTCATCAAATTGCTTCCTGATGCCATTTAACAGTGCAGTCACAGCAGCAAAGTGCTCCTAGTGAAAATCTAGTTTCACTGTCAGGTGCCACAACATTCCCATTCCAGCATTAAAATGCCTGCAACCATTTTGACTTGAAGGACATGTAGCATTAGATGTGTCTTGCAGCATCAAGATATTCCCCAAGAACTGTTATATTTAGGAACTCTTTCACCTAGGACTACATGACTGGAAGTTGTTGTCTGCTGGAAGTTGGCTAGAGAAGACCATAGCATTATTTACCGTGAAATTAAGCAGATAAAGCTGAAAACCAGGACATAATTTAAAGGTAAGTAAAAATTTTTCCTCTAAACCTCTGATTTAGCTTAAGGCAAGGAAATTCATGGTACTCGCATATGATGCACTCAAGAAATAAAATTTGAGTCTTACTACACATCTTAGTCTTGTTTAAAAATGATGCAAGTCTTCATTTAGGCAAGAAAAATGAGCAATCCCCGAAGTTTTCACCAAAAAATCCCCAAAAAACTTTGCAGCTACCTGGCAAACAACCAACAGAGAAGGAAAGAACTTGCCAAGCCACAAAAGCGATGGGCCGTTAGTCAAGTGCATCAGTGCTCTTTGGTGACATGCAGCTTGTCAAAGCAATGTTTGCTTATGAGAAACATGAACACAGGGTACTACCGACCTGCTCAACCTGTTCACTTCAAATACAGCCCAGGGCTGTAATGTTTGACATTACAAAGAACTCTGACACTCTTTATAAGATCTGTAGGAATTCGAGTTCCCTTGTTACAAGCTTTGAGGAATTCAACCAAAAATATGTCAGGGGAACCAGACATCAGCTTTCCTCCTCATTCAAAATAATTGGAAGTTATTTGTTTAGTGATTGTTATGATCCCACTTCTGACAATTGGCATTTTCTTCCACACACAATCAAACACTTATATAGAAGAACACCACATTTTCAGTTCTATTTCTTCACTTACTACCAACAGTACTATTTTAAGTCATAATCCCCAAATAAACATTACTGGTTTTCTTACTACTGCAAAATAGTGCAGATTATTAGAAAGAAAGACAGTCAAACCAAACACACAGATTGGAGTGGAACTTACTGCACCATAGTAATTCTACTTCATTGAAAGACCTTATTTTTCCATGTAGGAATGCCATTTATGTTTTACTCACAACACCTAGTAAGGAAGGTCTCCTGCTGCCGCCAATGGCACTGGGTTTTGCCCCTGCACATGGCTGGATTCTTTCCAGACATGTGCCTGATGGCTGACAGAAGAGGGGAGATAAGATTTGACCATGACAGCTCTGCAGTTTGTTGAATTATTCAGCTGCAATAGCATTTCCATATTGGTGTCACTTACCTCTCCTGAAAACATGGTCCCATCTGAAAATCTCCCAGGTTAACAAGGACACAGGCTTGCTCCCAGGCAGAGCAATTCTAGAAGAAAAAGAACCTTTTCCAGAATGGGTCAGTGAGCTGCACATTGATCTTAGAAAACACACATGGGATGATCCTGGATTGGCTATAATCTTGACTGGAACCGGGAACAATTTTCATGTGTGACAATCGGAGAAGACAGATTTTTTTACAACATTCAGAAACGGTCTCTCTGCTCCTACAGAAATGTGCAATAGTAGTGCTCATTTCTCAGACAAGAAAAAGTTGGTTAAACACTGAGAATTTCTGAAATCCCACCTTAGGAAGTTTTTACATACAAGGATGCAGCCATCTTGTTGACATGTATAAATGAAAGAAAAAGAAAAAAATTGTACAGTGAATCGAAGTGCAATAGAAATAAAAGGATGCAAGAACAGTAATCTACAGTATTACAAAGATGCTATGCAGGAAAGAAGTTCCTGGGCATCTAGAAACTATGCCTCAGAGTCTCAGTAATAATACTCCTACATTTTAAGTACCAGGATCTCCTGATCTGTAGGTAACTCATAAGCAAGTGCTGTTTGTTCTGGGCTTACTAAATTTTGAACAACATGACTACTGATGAGTCAGTGTAATTCAATGTAGTATGGTGCCGACTAACTATTTATACAATGCGGATCTCCTTTAAACCCTCCCCAAAATTTAACCATTATTACAGATAGATCAGTGCAAAAGTATTTATTCTATGTACAGTACCAATTAAATGAGTGATTTTCCATAAGAAACTGTAAAAAGCAATAGAAGTATTCTAATGCTATTGTGTAAATTCCAGTTCCTCCTTCCTTTGAATGCTATGCTTTGTCCTAGATTATCAAACGGGGTTTCTAAGCCATTAATGAGCAGCTTTCACTGGAGCATGTAAGTATATTTTGTACTTCTGAAAAGTCACATGGACATTCATATAAAAAAAGTAAACAAAACCCCAAAATGAGAAAACAGTAACTGAAGGCTTAGAGACTTTTAGATGAGGAACAGTTGAAACTTGCTTTTTTTTCGCTCTGCAGATGCAACTACATACATCAGCAAGACCACAGAACAGTGATCAGCACAAAAATGTTCTCTGAAAATTTCTAAGGAAGAGACACTTTCACAACACAATGAGAAACTCATAAAATAAGTTTACAAAATCAAGAATTACAGAGCTACAGAGAAGACTAAATTACAGAATGCTTGCTGAAAATATATTATTAAGGAAACAGCTTTCTACCAAGCTTTAAGAATAGTATTTTTACTTAGGTTAGGTAAAGGAAAAGTTCGACTGTCTGCAGGGAACAGCCTATGAGTCGCCTGGCAGCGGAAGGAAATCCCTGAGACGTACATCCATGTGCTATTGCAAGTGGAAAAAGAGGTAGGTAGGAGTTCCCTCCCTCATGTATCTGCCTCTGATGGTTATCCAAAAGCAAATACCAGGCTTTGAGGCTCATCTGACCTGGCTGTTTTAATCCTTTAGCACATTTCAGTTGATAATAGTCAAATGTACTGCTCTTGGCATGCTTTCTTCTATGCCTAATGCCACAGACCTGACATTACAGCAAATACTCTTCTGGCAATATCCCCCTTGCTGCATTTGGAGACCTGGGCAGAGATGGATTGCTGTTGTTGAAAACTGCTCTCTCACAATTGCATTCCAGCTCTAATTATCTCTCCACTGGGCAAAATTACCGCAGTTGCTTTTCTGCTACTGGCAGAAAGAGGCATTAAATAGGAAACAGTAGTAGCCTGCTTCTTTCCTGAGGCTCTCTTTTCAGGCTGTTCTTAGAAAATGAAGTGGAAGTATCTGGGGTATTTTTTAGTTTCTGTCCCATGTTCTGTCGTCCCAACTCTGTACTCTCCTGTTAGGAGTTCCCAATGCAAACTCTGGTCTTCCTTTTGTGAGAAAACATAACCGACTTCATACTATTAAAAAAAAAAAAAAAAGCAGTTTGGTCAAAATCAGTTCAAGACATTCCATAAGTTCAATGTCAGCATGCCTTCAACAGTTTGACTCAGCCTCTCAGCCTGCATTCTACAAGATTGATCCCAACAGGCAACAGGCACACTTGCCCTGGGTGAAGAGTCCCCCTGAAAGGTTAAAATTCCAGCAACAGCTACCAGGTGGGCAGAAAGAGATAAGGCAGCAGATAACAGGGAACTTCGTGGCATTTCCTGCAGCCACCCTCCCGTAGGAGCTGGCTTTGGTCCATTTAAAGCATTTGATGTATTTAATCCTACCCACATGCCGTTCACTCAGAAAGAGGCAACTTGCGACTTGTACTACCCAGCACCTAAACCGGGGTGTTTAGTTTAACATATACAAATAATAAAAATAGCTAAAATACAGAGATAAATATACACCATACAAAATCCATAACAGATTAAACCATGTTAAAATACACGGAAGTATACCGCATATATAAAGTACGTGCGTATATGGGCAGGTATGCATGTATAATTTCCAGGTGCGGCTGGAGGTGGCAGGCTCCAAGGAAAGCGGGAGCGGGGGGCTCCAGCCCCGGCGGGACCCCGCGGGGCAGGTGAGCCAGCGGTGGTGCGGGGGGCGGCCCGGCCCTCAAGGAGTTACGGAGCACGATTACTTCATGTTCCCACCGGCCGCTCTCAGCTGCCCCCCCCACGACCCATTTCACAATCCCGACTCTGGAGCAGCCCCGTCAAGCCGGGCGCGCTCCATGAGCACACACCCCCATGTTCTCACGCCGGATTTTCCCAAGGCCATGAATAATCTCGAAGCCCCCTCAATAAATACACGTTCAGGGATGCCCGGAGCTCATTCAACCCGCCAGCCTCGCCGACGAGAAGGGGCCAGGGCCGGAGCCGAGAAGAAGCCGCACCATGAAGTTTGCCCGGGACTGCGGCTGCGACCGTGCCCTCGCCGGCCGCCGCCGGCCGCCCGCCCTCCGCGCCGCGCTGCTGCTGCCGCCGCCGCTGCTGCTGCTGCTGCTGGTGCCCCGGGCCGCCGCCGCCCCGCTGCCCAGCGCCGACTCCTCGGGGGAGGCCGAGCCGGACGAGGCGGCGGCGCGGCGGGCGGCGCTGCCCGACTGCCTGAGGCTGGCGCGGCTGCTGCACGCCCGGGCGGCACAGCTGCAGGACGAGGTGGGTACGGCGGGCTCGCACGCTCCCGCTCACGCCGGCCCCGGCCGCGGCCGCCTCCTCACAAGGCGCGATCAAACTTCTCCGTGTCTCTCCCCAGATGTGCGAGAAGTTTACCGTCTGCCAGAACAGCATGGAAATGCTCCTCCACAACAACCTCAACCTCCCCAAGGTGACGGAGGAAGATGGGTGTCTGCTCGCCGGCTTTAATGAGGCAAGGAACAGCTCTCCTTTCCTATCTAATCCTGTCTACCTGGGGCAGGTTTTGCCTGCTAAAAAGAACTGTGGAAGTTGACCTAAAGATTTGAACCGGCTCTAGCCGGCTTTGGCCAGACCTCCACACTCTAAGAGCATCATCTGCTAACCTGCACACAGCACTGAGATCAAGGCACTTTGAACTCTAAGTGACTTTCTCACCTTTCTCTCATTTCAGGATAAATGCTTGAGAAAAATCTCCAGTGGGCTTTATACATTTCAGACATACCTCAAATACATACAAGAAACTTTTATTAGTGAAAACCAAAATGTTGAATCGCTATCCTATAGCACAGAGCACCTGGCACGTACCATAAGACAGATGGTAAGTTGGTTTTAAATTTCCTCTGATGATTTTTGTGGCTTAATACTGATGTGAAGTCAGAAATAGAAGATACTATGTGAAATAGAGGATGCTATGTTTCAGTTCCTTGAAAAAACAGGTGACAGTTCCTTATGCTCAGATCTCAGCCTTATGACTTAGAGGTTTTACAAAGTTTTGCTTTCTTTTCTTAAAGAAACAACTCTTCTTCCTACTTTCTGTTGTTAGTTATCATTTCCAAACCAACTAAATGCATCATTATTTTAAGAACAAATATACTAAACTGTCTGGTAGAAATATAATTTCTCAGAGAGGTGGTTTATAATTGCCGAACTGTAATTAACCCATACTAATGTTGGAACCCACTGAGAAGTAGAAGTCAGCAACTTTTTTTAAAAGCCCACATTAAAAAAAGAAAATAAAAAGCCAAGTGTATTTTTAGAATATTATTTATCTTTAAAACTCTCCAAACTTTTAAGCCAAGCTGTATGGCATATTGAGATATTGCTGTCACTATACCAGATATACCCCTACTGAGAAACACATATTTTGCTTGCAAAATATCTTTCACAAAAATACCAATTTCTCTCTTTATTTGGTATACTAAAATGCTGTTAATTTCTGATAGACATTTTTCATGCTTTAGAGAGCTTTGAAAAATCACACTTCAAAAATTTACTTAATCCCTGTAGTTCTTGCTCATTTTAATAATCCTTAATATGAATGCTTCCTTTTGTCTTTGGGGAAAGCATTTGCCTGATCAAAAATCACCCAGGTAAGGACTGCAGAAATCTTGGGGCATTATTTCCTTCCAGGCAATTTTGGCATATGAAAAGCCTATTGTGCATTGTGTGTTTGCCGTACCTTTCCTAACATATTTACTTATGCCCATCATTCTTTATGTGAAAGGAAGCTGAACTGCTTTTTTTCACACTGTGCTAGCTGAGAATAATAGTCCTGTCATACAACAGAGACTGTTTCCAGCTTGATACACAAGTTTGCAGAAAGTTTGTTTCATAACTGAGACTAGGTTTGGATTTTTTTTTTTAACCAAGGTAATCAAAACAGGCAGCATTAAACACAGTGATCAAAAGCAAAACCTGCACCTGTAGAAACTGTGGAGTTTTTGAGAAAAGGCCTTGATATTCACATGGGAAATTTTTCTTTGTGAGAGAAAAATCTCCTATTTAAGGCAAGGACAGCAAAGCCAGAATCCATCACTTGTGGTTAAATAGATCCACCAGCATGATACCTGTCTGGATATCCAGATAAAACTTTAACAGAGCACAATAAGGAGCTGGGCATACCAGGAAAAGGGAGTGTGATCAGAACACACTCTCAAGTAATCTGGATAGGATTATATTTCACAAAAAAGATATTCCAAAAGGAGGTTTGCATCTTTTTGCCACTTGTTAAAGGGAGGAGAGATCCTAAACACAGGATTAAGCAGATACTTGCTAGAACTTTGGACTCCAAACACCTAAAACAGCTCCCAAATGATTTGGGTATGTAACTCCCATTTTCATTAGTCCCACTTCTTGGGACAAGTTCTTCAAAGGCCGTTAGGTACTGGGTGCACAGTGCTGTGAGTCAGCATTAGATAAACAACTCATTAACTAAATAACTTCTATTCATCTTGTAGTTATGCTCTCACATATCAGTGAAAGTTGATGGCACTTAGTCTCACATGTAACTAAATGTCTGGAAAGTAAGAATTAAGCAGCTAAACAAGTCATACATCTTTGGAAAGGAAACTTGTCAATCTGTTACAAAATGTGAGAGTACTCCAATGTCAGCCGATGACTGACTTATGACTCAGGATGGAGCAGAGCAGGTTAGGACAAATCATGATCAGCATCTCCCCACCTAACCAACCATATGACTGCCAAAGAGCAGGAGGGGTGTATTGATCTGCTCAGCGCCTGTTGGACTGCGATGCCCGAGGTGGCATTCAAACCAAAACAATATAGCCCAGAGATTCCTACACAGCAGTCGTAGCAGGCAACAGCATTCCTCACACCTCTCCACAGAAAGCATGGGTCTCAGGGAGGGGTCTTGTCTGCAGTACAGAAAAAGTGGATATGCAGCAGGCTGGGAAAATACAAAGCAATGCTCTCCAACAGGCTCAGTGACAGTGTTTTAACCAAAGCCCCCCAATATTGTCTTTTTCACAGGTGATCAATCCCGAAGAAGTGATCATTCCAGATGCAGCTACCCAGGAATCCCTCCACACAGAGCTGAAGTCCACTAAGGACTGGACAGAGAAAATCACCATCCATCTCATCCTCCGATATTTTACTTCATTTATGGAGAGGACAGTGAGGGCCGTGCGCTATTTGAAAAACACCAGGAGTTTCAGTGTTTGAATGTTTTAGTTCAGGCACAATCCTTTTGTTACAGATCTGTCAGGTGGCAGACAACAGTGTTGTTCTGTTTTAAGAACTAGAAATAATAACAATGGTTTGCATCTATATACATTCCTATTTCCTTCTAGGAATTTATTTATTGTATTTAAGATATTTATTAGTTTTTAATATTTCTATTTATATTTTAAATATTTAGAAATAATTTAAACAAATTATGTATTTTATTTCCTTTATAATGGTACTATTCAGATAATAAACTTATTTAATATGTATTAAAAAAAAACATTTGCAGAACCCAGAAAAACTTTTTTGTAATTTATGTTTTTATATATTTGAGAGATGGTACTTATGACTTTTTTATATTTTTAAGACAAATAAAAGCCAGTTTTTAAAAAAGGCTTGTATAACCTCTGTGAACTTTAAATAAGACCAAAGCACTCTAATATATCCAGGCTTTAATGCCTGCAATTATCAGAATAACCACTTTCAAGAACTTCTCTGTAAAATCAGGCCAGTTCTCTACACAACACATACATACACACACAGACAATTTGATTACCATATAATTCTTAAAATGGGATATGAAGGAACTAGATGCACTGAAAAGGGCACTTAAGAATGAACAAGATAAACCATCTTGCTCCTGAGAAACAAATGGACAAGTGCCTTATGTTTAACAAACACCCAATACAATTGTTTGTAAAGATCTTCTTACAAGTCAAATAGTCTCTTTTAAATAAATAAAGTGGTGAGACAACCACATTAACCACTTTGACATGAATACTTCCCTCTGATTAGTTTTATTGCTGTCATCCAGGGGAATTTTCCAAGTTTGGTTGAACAGCTCTGGCTCCTACCACAAGTAGGAAAATAGAAATTTAGGTTATTTCCTTAAGCAATATAAATTAAAATATTGCTTCTGAGCAATGCAGCAACCTGCATTTGTCTTTTATAATTTATATTTCACTAGTATGGACAAGCCTCACACCACGAATGCATATTCCTGAATACCCATGGCAAGAAAAAAAAAAAAAAACAAAACAAAAAACAATACAGAACAGGACTTAAGCCTGAGTACCAAACCACTGAAACTTTCCTTGGCTGCATCATCTGCAGCACTGTAGTTGTGCAGGTTCCTCATATACTGAAATTTAGAAGAATTCACAGACTACGCAGGGGATGCAGGCAGCAGAAGTCCCTCAAGCTTTGTCCCTTAAAATGGTAGATTATCAATTACCCTCACTTTTCCTTCTGACACAATGGTGAAGATGCGCAGATGAAAGGCGTGCCTTGGAATGTGGATAAGGATGTCAGCAAACTCTCCTCTTCCTCTGAGTGATCTGATTGTCCACATATGCATTCCACCACCACTGGGGATGCCAAAACAGTGACCAGTCCACCCACTGCTCACATCTCAGATGCTCAAAACAAAACAAACCACTGCTTTGCCCAATATGGTAAAACTGTCATCTC